GGGGGGGGGAGGAGACGTCCGAGAGGCGGGGGAGGAAGGTCTCGGTGGCGACTGCCCTCCCGTGCCCGATTTGCGCCCGGTCGCCCATCCACCCCTCCTTGGGCAGGGCGGGTCCTCTCTGGCGACACAGCCGAGCAACCTTCGCAAAATCAGGCAGCCGGCGAGTTCCTTCGCCGGAACGAGCCCGGCTTGCACCGAGAAAAGACTTGGTCCCCTCCAAGTCCCATTTTTTCCGCCCGATCGCTTCCCGGATCAGCTATAAAGCCCTTAAGATTTAGACACCGCTTCAGCCGTGCTTTCACTCCAAGCGGTTTACAGAGAGTCAGCCTACGCTCCCCCCCCCCCCAACAATCCAGGTCCTCCTTTGACCCACCTGGGAAGGCTGAGAGGCTGAATAAGCCTCTGAGAAATGAAGGCTTCTACTGGCTGCCTATTCATCCCACCAAGAAAAGATTTGGTTTCAATTGACTGTGGATCTTTGCAATTCTTTGTAACATTAGATATGTAATAAAGACCCCCCACCCACCCTCAGCTTCCACACACACCCCAACAATCCAGGTCCTCCTTTGACCCACCTGGGATGGCTGAGAGGCTAAATAAGGAAGGAATTCACGAGAAATTAAGGCTTCTACTGGCCGCCTATTTATCCCACCAAGAAAAGATTTGGTTTCCACTGAAGGTGGATCTCTGCAATTCTTTGTACCGTTATATATGGAATAAAGACGCCACCACCCCACCAACCCTCAGCTCTCCCCGTCTCCCAAAGGTTTGCCTTCCCGGGACAAACCGGGCACTCACTCCACCCAACTACGCTCATCCTTTGCCCCGTTTCAAGCCGCAGCGCCGCCGGGAGCCCGGCGGGGGGGGGGGGGGGCGAGCGTACAAGCCTCCAACCGGTCGGTCGGCTCCTTGCGGCGCCTTCGCCTTCCGCCCACCCGGCTCTCGGGCAAAGGAGCAACCGGGGTTTTTGGGGGTGGGGGGGTGGGGGGGACAAGTTGCAAAGCGAAGAAGAGCAGCAGCCGGCGGTTCCCCCCTCCTCCCCGCCGCCCTTCCTTTTGCACAGGCTCCTGCGGTGCAAATCCCCCTCCCCAAAGCCGGGTTCGAACCGGGGGCGGGGGGGAGGAAACGGGACGGGATTCGGGCCCGGGGGACTCACGTCTCGGAAGCGGTTCCAGTGCTTGATCTTGCCGCTGTACTGGGCGATGGAAGACAGCCATTGCTCGTCCTCCATGAAATTGCCCGGGCTGTCGCCTTCTTTCGCCGCCGCTTTGCCATCGCCTTCCGCCCAAGCCAGGGCCAGCAGAAGCGGCACCACCAGACAGCAGCCCGGGGCTCTCATCTCGGGGGGGTGGGGGTGGGGGGGGGAGAGAACTGGGGCTGGCCTGGTCCTCCTCCTCCTTCTCCTCCTGATGGATCCGCTGCAAAGCGCCTCTTCCCGGGCCCCCTTCGGACTCCCCGGCGCAGCGAACGAGGGTTTGAGAGCCCCGCTTGCAAAAGCCCCAAAATTAAAAAAAAAACACCAACCCAACCGCGACCTGCTTTGCAGATGCGCTTTCTCGGAAAAGCCAGCCCCGCCGAGCAGCCGGGGGAGGATGACGGAGTCTGCGCCAAAAGAGGCTGGCTTAAGTCACAGGAGCGGCAGCATCACGCTTGACATCATGGTCCCTGGCATAAGAAGAAGAAGAAGAAGAAGAAGAAGAAGAAGAAGAAGAAGAAGAA